CTAAAATCAGTACTTTAAATGAATTACTCTGACTATTGGATAGCGCAGTGGTTGAGGGTTTGGCTAAGGCGTTCAGGGATGCGGGCTCGATTCTTGCACGAAATTAGGGTTTATATTTTCTAGAAATAATTGTTTTGGGTCTGGGTTTTCGGTCATATCTAATTTATGTAGTAAAACACACATATTAGGAAAACTTCTAGAGATTTTCGTTTGTTGTTTTTTATTATATTTTGGTTTATATGTCGAAATCTGAGCTACTATCAAACTACTAGTACATTGTGGAATTTATGATAATCCCGGGACATGATAAAATTGTCCACAAAGGTGTTTAAAAAACTGCATATATGTATTTTGATATATTAAGTATTCATCTTTATATTCTTCATCATAAGCCCGAAAAACTGCACTACTTGACATGAGCCACTTCCGTTAAAGGAATTGGCATCCTTGGCAGCCAGATTGGTATAGCGATCGCAGAACCTGATGTTTCGCGCTTTTGACACTGCTAACCGCCGCCACTGTGGGTATTTACCTTTTATTTAACGAGATGTTTATACTGCCATCAAGTTAAGCTAAGTTAAGTAAAGTTAAGTTAGTTAGCTATCAATTTAAGCTCATGGGGTTATTTGCATGCTATTGAGATATGAATGTTTGTTTTAAAAATTTTATCTGTCTTTCCGAATTAACCTTCGGAGTTACGCACGGAGCAATGCTAGGTGCTAGTGATCTAGGCTAAGCTTTATACAAGAAATTGCCGATTTTTATGTGAATACGAAAAAGTGTCAATTTTTTTTATTGATGATTATTTCGTAAACTAGGTATAGAAATATTATTAGTTTTATTGTATTAGTTGTATTGTAGTGGCAGTGGGCCGGCCATATAGCTCGAAGAACCGACAACCGATGGGGAAGAAAGGTTCTCGAGTGGCAGCCTCTTACCGGTAGGCGAAGTGTAGGGCGACCCTCCACTAGATGGAGTGACGACCTGGTAAGACATGCAGGAAGTCGATGGATGCAGGTGGCTCAGGACCATGCTTTGTGGCATTCCTTGGGGAGGCCTATGTTCAGCAGTGGACTTACAAAGGGCTGTAATGATGAAGCTCAGTAATAAAAAAAGGTTTCACAAAACTTCTTTTGAGTTGCGATTTCACACAAAACGTTATTCGCACGTTATTTTCTATCTCTTAAAATTTCGTAGTAAAATAAATGTTTTACATTTTTTTTACTTCAACATCATTTAACAATTAAACGATGTGTGATAAAAGATAATTTTATTTTCAGGCATTTGAATTGAGCATTTTTATGAAGAAAACTGTGTTTGATGTTTTTTTTATATAATTTTACTACTTAAGCAAAGACCACTGTAGGTTTTTTGTTTGAGTTCTACGGGGAGGAAGTCGCGGGTAAAAGCTAATTGATAATAAAATTAAAAAAATGACAAAGTATATTTGCTTCCTACCTGATCTGAAATCAAAGCTGGAGACCTACAGGAACCAACCGACTTAAAAAATTAGGAGGTTCTCAATTAGTCGGAATTATTTTTCTTTATACCTTCAGCGATAATTAATTGCCACTATGTTCATTTTCAATGATTATTTTTATGTTAAGGCAACATCTGATGATGGGTTCCATAAGAACATTAGTAAACTTTGTTAACTAACACACTACGTACTCAAATACTCAGGTATACATTTTCTCCTAAACTCTTTTCTTTCTTTATGTACTGCGTTAAGAAATGTACTATTATGTTTCAAATCTGGCTATGTTAATATTTTGATGTAAATACAAGTTGTTATGATTACATAGGAAGAACGAGGCTCCCAACACAAGTATCTAGTTAAAGTTATATCTAGTTAAAGTTCATATCTATCCTCAGTGCTTTATAATAAGTTAAATAGAAATCTAAATTTTTATCCCCTTTCCAGACATGAATGTAAAGTTAAAGTTCGTAATTGGTTATTGTCACTTGATTATAGTAAAACAGAAAATATAATTTGTAAAAATGTCTGTAAGTAATGTATGTCGTATAATAAAAGTATAATAAAATTATAAAATTATGAAATTAAAAATAGCAATCTTTGTGCATCTTTTCATTCATTATAGGTTATAATGAATAAAATATATATTCTGTATGAAATTATATAAATACATATTCTATTTACATACATATATATATATATATGTGTGTGTGTGTGTGTGTGTGTGTGTATGTATATGTATATATGTGTGTGTATATATATGTCTATGTATATATATTACAAAATGCAAACTAATTTTAATATACCTACGATTACATAAATTATAATAACGACTAAAGAGTCGCATTAAGTTATAGTTTATGTTTCTTGGTAAATAAATACATTCAAATAGCTAAACAGTTACTTAAAAATGTTAAGCTTATTTACTTAATTAATTGTTAAGATTAAAATACTGTTGTCACAACACTGGGAGAGGCCGCTGATCCCTAAGATACAGACTTGTCTAGTTTGGGGATCAGAGTCTTCACTTTATTATTTTACTTTTATTTAAATAAATGATTATTATTATTATTTATTTATATTTTTTATATTTACTTATTATTATTATTATCTTATGATTTATTTCTGGAAGGCCTTGGCAGATAATTTGTAAAAGAATTACTGAAATAAAACATTTTATATATTTATTTAAACTCTTCACTTTGCAACGGACATAGACGACATATGGGCGAATATTTTTTACCACATTAACTAATTGTGATGATTATATTCTTTTTAGTTCGTTGAAGTTGGTTGTCATTTATATTTAATTATATATGTACCTATGTAATTAAACTCACATTTACTCTGGTATTCCGTACTAACATATTACATTATTATGTAAGATCGAAAATATATAATAAAATTTATTTTTAACAATAAACGTCGAATTTATCTTTACAGTAGAGGAGCCCATAATATCCGTTTGTTATACCTCAGAACGGTTACATATTTTTGGATATTCTTCTTGAAAATTATTAATATTTTTGTGGACAAACAGGCATAGATCATAAATGTACTAAAAGGCCAGTAGTGTTATCTATCTGGGCAGGTATTCCAATGCAGAGTAATGCTGCTGTGTTTTTCATGATGAGTGTAGAGAACTGGCGACTCTTTTTAATTGAAGCGAGGCATTCCGTCTTAGTTCTCTGAGCTAAAAACGCATTTCAATTGTTAATCAAAAATAGATGTAAATGTCTTTCGGCCACATCATCCACTTACCATCAGGTGGACTGTATGCTCGTTTGCCAACAAATTCTCAAAAACAAACGTCTGGCATAAACAAGTCGGTTATTCCGTCATCTTTAAAACTTTGGTATTTCTCATAATCGTTTCTTATGACACCAATGATCTAAGACGACGATGATAAATTCGCCCACGACATCAACACGAAAAATTGGAACTTACTACGGAACTGAATGTTAAATTTAGACCAATCTAAACACAGCCCGGATAGCTCAGTCGGTAGAGCATTGGACTTTTAATCCAAGGGTCCAGGGTTCAAGTCCCTGTTCGGGCGACTATACTTTTTAAGTAAATAAAATTATAACATATTATGCAGAATATTAGCTGGTTAAACAACAACGCAGCACGATAAGTTTCGAATTTCTAATTCACGCCGAGGTTAGTTATTGAATATTTTATTTACACTGTTATATGTATTGGTATAAATATAGAATCCGTATATACACAAATATATATACAAAATAAAAAAAATATTATAAGTATTAAGAACAAATTTACAATATTATAATATATTTTTAATTTTTTTGTTAGTCAAGTCGTTCAGAAGTTCACGAAAAACACTGAAAAACGCACCAAAACATTATATATAAAAAGATAATACCAGGTATCCAGGCAGATGTTGTTCTAATTTTTCCGGTAGGCAGCGCGATGAGTTTTCTTAGTAATCGACTATTTATTATGTGTAATAACCGACCAAATTTGCAGAGAAGGTTCAGAATAAGTAATATACGCAAATGGTCAATAAAAATTAATTAAAAACGATCTCAAAAATTCTGTCCTTTTTCTTTTAAATTCAAAGTTCGTGGTAATGCATTATCTTAACTGCTTTTACTGCGCACGCACACATTCGTATAGGTCGATCGGAAGACAAAAACGTTGATGCCGTAAATCACATTAAATTTGAGATTACTTCAAATAAATGTTGTCCTTATTTCCTCGTATTTTGAAAAACTGCAATAACAGTATATCATTATTTATATATTTAAGCTTAAGTTAGGTACTTACAACTCACAACAAATACGTATTATCTTCCCATGACACAGACTACTGACAAATGGCAGGGTATACAAACTATCCACACAATCTGTCAATACTAAATTTGCGCAACGTTTTGGCTACATTATTAAAAGACAAATTTATAATAAGGTTGTAAACCATTGTGCTATTAGAAATAAAAACAACATTTCTGCGAAATTAATTATATTGAAATGGTTGGTCACTTTATCATATTATGATGAAACAGAAGAGTTGTTAAGAACTAGCTTTTGCTAATTGATAATATCTGTGAAATTTTTAGGTAAACTTTGTTACTGTCTTAATTTTTATTTTCTTTTTTAAATGCATAAGTATATAGTTAAAATATTGCAGTTATATAAAACTTGGATTGGTTGTTGTAGGTTTCTTTTTTATGTTCAAAGATTTTAAACAATAAGGAGTTCTGTTGCTTGTGTATGTTAATAATTAATAAAATAAATAAAATTAAAATTAATATAAAAATTACCCTTAATGAACTTTGATCTCAGGTTACCTCCATACAGGCTTGCCTGTGACAAAACCAACACATATTACCTATTGTAAATTTTTTTGTGATAAAAAAACATTTTTCAATGTTTTTATTATTATTTTTTGAACTCCATAAAAAAGTATAAAAAAAGAGCAAACTTATGGGTAGAAAAACAACATTTCAGTTGGTAATAAATACTCGTATATTTATAAGTCCATAATAAAACGAAAAGTGCTAATAGTTGTAACCGTTTCTATGTGTGAAGCTTGACTGGCGATTTCGGTTACCGAAACGGGCTCCTCCATTTTGGTTTCCTGAAGTCCTCTGTTCGGAGGTAGGTGGCAAATAGGCTTTAGTGACACCACTGTCGACTGGCTGAATTGTATTTCTTACTCCGGTTCCTTGCTGACGGAATACTTGCGAGTTAAAAGCAGAATTAACAACAACGGAGTCATCATCATTTATTTTGTTGACGTTGTTTCCATTTGCATTGCTATTGCCAAAAATTGGGGTCTCGTATCTGTTGTCTCTATTAGAATACTTGTATTCATCGTAGGACCCTGAAAATTAATTACACGTGGTTTGTAAATATAAAGAAAAGTACATTAAAAAGTGGGAAAATTGGGGTAGGATGTATTTTTGAAATGTCCTAAAGACCGAATATTTATCACGGTGGTCGGTCTCAACGGAGTCTAGCCATCTGCGCAGGACAGGATTATAGCGCCCGAGTATATGCGCAAGCACAACTGCACTCTTTATTCCCTCACTCTCATAGTCCGATGAGACGGCAAGCTGACATGACCGGAGAGAGATTAAGCACAAGTCAACGGCTTTACGTGCTTTTCGAGGCACGGGGATGAAACACCGCCATTTTTCTGACTCCGGGCAGCTACTGAGAATTTCTAGACAGAAACACCCAATAACTAATTTTGGCCCGAACCGGAATTCGAACCTTGTGATTAGCAACCACGTTTACTACCACTAGACCCACGAGGCAGACGATCGTGTATTTTTTCATACAAGAGTATCTATGGATGATAAACTACTACGCAGTTCACTAGTGGTAAGAGAGTAGTATGATCAAATATATAATGAAAAAAAACATTTATCCATCATTGATTAAAAATCAATTTGAAGTTGTGTTTTTGTTTGTAAATATTCAAATGGAATGCCTCGTTAACGCTTAAAAGGATCTCCGGATCTCTAATCTTTCTACATTCACCATTCAAAACACTATATTATTATGACGGTATTTTATATCTGTATCTGTGGGACCGTTGCTTTTCCCTAATAGAGTCGACCAATTAGTATAGTCATATTACAGCTAAAGTGTGATAATTAGTAGCATTTCACTTTATATTCCCTGTTCTTCACAATGGACACGACTGTACCTGCAGGTAACTCTATGCCACGTCAAGAAAATACGCTGAAGTAGAATTAAAAAGAAACGTGTATGAAAAAGTAGGTATTGTAATATTATGTACCATCATCGTAAATTCCTGCAGCTTCATCACGGGCGTTTTGTTCTAGAGCCAATAAAATCTCCTCTGGAATAGGGGGAGGCGTAGGGAGGTGGTCACCTTCCGGCACAAAACCGTTCTGACCAGCTGTATATCTGCGCAGAATATTGTTATGGATTATTTATTTTTAATTTTTCTTCACCGTCTTCAATGTATATATCTATGTCATAACTCCACTAACTGTACAAAGGCCTATTAAAGTTTGTTTCAATGGGATTTGATATGAAAATAAAAGAAAAACAATTTTCTTGGTATTCAATATTATGTTACGTATACATGGTATGGTATACACTGATAATTTTTTCGTAAATAAAAAAGAAAATTTTTAATTATTTAAATGTATGACGAATGAGTCCTAAATTTTGGTACATAATATATTTTTAAGTTATATGTTTTATTAAATAGGAGATATTTATGAGAAAATTTATACTTAATACATAAATTTTGTCCAATTTATGTCTAATAAGAACAAGTGATTTAATAATAAATAATACCAATACAAAAAAATATGAGGCTAAAGCTATATCGGCAGGCCTAACTCAGTATGAGCCGATATCTTATCTCAATCTGATCGGTATTTTATAGACGCGCCGACGTATATGTGTTTCTATTTTTTGGGGTAATTAAAAAAATACATATAGCTGTTACTATTAAAGTCTAAAAGTTACCCATCAACTACTCACCTGACACTGTATACTTGTCCATCATCACCAGTGTAGGAATAACTGCCTTGCGCTTCAACACCATTTGTAGCCACACCATTTTCTTCTGCGTTTATACCATTTTCAGTTTCAAAAGCATATGAGAAGGTTTCTCCATCATTATTATTAAACTGTCGAAGAATTGCCGCATTCCTTTCTAAAGTAGCACGGGGACGTTCAGGACGAGTTTCATAATTTTCAAAGGCATTTATTTGACTTTGCAGTATGCCCTTACTGTTTTCGATGAAATCGTTACCGTCTTGGTAGTACTTGTTATGAGCGAGAATATCTTTAGAAGGGAAACCATCATTTCTTTTCCCGGAATATTCATTAAAATTAGACGTAGGACTTGAATGAGGCGTTTGAAGAAAGTCGCTGGAACCTCCCGATGTCTGGGCATAGTTTGGTGGTAGATATGCCCCGTTTAGCTTCGCTGCTTTTGAGCAAGCGATGAAAACGGTTAGAATGATCTGAAATTACGACATTATTTTACCAATGTACATAGTTAAAAAGTAAACACCACACGTTATAAAAGCGTTAAAAATAATAAACTAAGTGTGAGTACAATAATGAAACTACAACAAAAGCAAAAGGGAAATGTCAATAGATTTATAAATTGGGATTAATTGTATCATTATCATTTAATCGATGAATGTATTCATAAGGATGTTTTCAAAGAAAAGTCTGTTAAAAACAATATTAGTGTGCATATAAGAAGAATTATAATTATATATTTTGGTTTTAATATAATATTTAAATTATAAATGGCAAGGGATATGTTCTTCATGGTCTCAAATTATTAAAAGATGTCACAAGGAGAATATTCTGCTTAGATATTTCACAGGAAAGGTAAATCTGTTTAAAATTCTTAGTTGATTTGATGTTTTGAGCAAATTGTTTTAATCACTTTACTTATTTAGATAGTTTTAATTTCTGACAAATATTAAACAAAATTAATAAACGCGTTACCAATTTCATTGCAGATTTTTTCACACGATCTATCTCACGGATGCCAAGCATGTAACTGACGCGATTAAAGATCTCAGTAGAATATTTATAGTGACGCTTGCACTGATTATCGATGTGCTTTAATATAGAAGATGATCGCTTGAACCAAAAGTCGTGGTCGTGTGTTGCCTAATCAGTACATATTATAGTAGTACGTACGTCTAATTGTTGCGAACAGTCTCATGCAACAAATGGCAATTTCTTAACACGCCAGCGATCTTTTGGCTAATTTCATTTGAAAGTCTATCATTAAAATATCATAGGTTTTAAAACATGCATACGCTAAAGAGAATATCAGGAAACATTAAAACTGTTTCATTTGCCTGGATTACTTAACTTTTTCTCCACTCACTGCAAATTAAAAGGCACTGGCGCTTGCACCTTCGTTGACAGCTGGGCTGCACCATCGACCTCTTGTGCAGGAGGATGGTGTGTCACGCTATCAAAGTTCTCAAGCACATAGCAACACATAGAGCGTAAGCTGCTCCTCGCTCCGAACACATTGTCCTGTAGGAGATCTTCGATAGAGAAGTCAAATTGGATAAACCCACTGTTCTTTTTACCACATACACAGATACATAAGAATATCCACTACCCTATATCATCCCGTGGGTGTCGTAAGACAGCACAGAGGGAAACAAATCAGGAGATGAGCAGCATCGTCTTTCTAATAACGACTAAAATTAAAATAAAACTGCGGTTGCCTACCCACTTGCCAAGTGTGGCAACTACGCCCAAATAGCCTCTTTAATAGGCTTTGTGGACTTTAATAGGCTGTAACTGTAATTGTTCTTTTCGGCATTTCTTTCTTAGGGTATTCTCATCTGTCGCTTTTGCAACTTCCATAGTGAGGAGTGAATGATTTTGTGTTTTTTTCTTTCGAAATGCCTGTGATTCTCAGTCCATTTACCAAACATGGCGACGATGACAAAATTTTATTATGTATGTGAAAGGCTTGAAGTCGAAGGGTGTAGGTGTCTTAGGATCATTTTTTGTGGAATTTTTTGGCTACTAAGGCTTGGAATTGTGTAGAGCCGATGATGATGATGATGAGATTCTTATATAATATGTTTTGACGTGGTCTTGTTTTAAGGCTAAGAAAGTTTGATCATTTTATTCAAAGCGGTGATTGTCAATATAATTTTATTTTGATCGACTCATTTTTGCATAACGTAATAACGCGGTACAAAACCTATTTCAATGAGCGTATTAAGCACGTGTGGGCAGTAGTTGGTCCACATCTCATCAAATTCCGACCTTGCAACTGATACATTCCAATCCTTAGCTAATGACTTAAAAAAGGTTAAGAATTTGAAATATTTTTCTACTTTTTTTTTAAATAATATGACACTCATTTCCCCGCTCAGAATTTTGTCAAGGAAATGCAAGATATAGCAAGTATGCGGATACAATATGTCATTTTCATATAAACTACACACATCAAAACATTTTGTTTTAATATTTAAATAAATATTATTCATATTAGTGTAAGTATATTTTTTCTTACAGCATAAACGAATATTTCAATTAAAGATAAATAATGTGATAACGAATGGAATGACGAATGTTTCCTTGCTCTAAAACCCTCTCAGAAGTGAGAGGAGGCCTGTGCCCAGCTGTGGGACGCAAATAATGTATTCTGTTACTTTCTTGCAATAGAGTGACGCTGGCTGCGGTGTAAGCTCGGAGTTTATAATTAAACTCGTCAATTAAATGTAGAATTAAACAGTTTATATGTAACAACTGCATCATTACACTTTCTGCGACTCTTACTTTTACTATTATAGGACCGTACTATTCTTGCTTTGCTGATAATTTCTAGGTGCCAGAGAAAACGTTTTTGAACACCGTACGTAATGAAAATATCCACTACCGTATATCATCCCGTGGGTGACGTAAGAAGGGACAGAGGGAAAAAAATCAGGAGATGAGCAGCAGCGTCTTCCTATAACGACTAAAATAAAAAAAATGCGGTTGCCAACCCACTTGCCAAGTTTGGCAACTACGCCAAATAGCCCTTCTATGAAGCAATCTATGGGCGAGACATATTTTCAGCAGTAAACTTTAATAGGCTGTAACGCTAATTGTTCTTTTGGGCATTTCTTTCTTACGCTATTCTCATCTATCGCCTTTGCAACTTTCATTGTGAGGAATAAATGATTATTTCTTTGCAAATACACGATATAATATTCTACCGTGTATTTGCAGTGCAATGGAATTTACTACCTTATATCATAATGTAGGTTTCTCTCACTATACGTGGTAGAGCCATATTGCAGCTATATTAGTAGTATATTTGTAGCACGAATGGGTCGGCTTGGCCGGGGAAAGACCACGCTCGCACAATACATCAGCATAAAATTAATAGCAGCTTAACACTGCTGTGTTTCTTATGGTGAGTGTAGAGAACCGGAGACCCTTTTTACTGGAAAAGAGGCATTCCATCTTAGTCCTTACGGGTGACAACGCATCTGGATGTTGATTCTTTATTGAGGATATATTTAGATTTGTATAGGTTACAGCAATCGCTTACCATCAGGTGGACTGTGTGCTCGTTTGTCACCCTCTACCATAAAAAAAGGTTTTCTTAAGTAGTAACAAAGGGAAACTGAAACTGTTTGGCACAACAGATTATCCACAGCAGCATTTTTCTGAAACCAACCAATATTTACTTTTTTTATTACTTTTTTACTACTTTGGCAAATATCCTTGCTATAAGGAAAGCTCAGTTGGAGGTCTATCTTCAGCTGTGGGCTTGTGATAAGCTGTAGTAAAAACGTAACTAACCTATGAGTAGCAATCTTGAATTTAGACGAATGCCGATTTCCAAACCATAGGGGTATTCCTTCTTATTATTTTTTACGTCTTAGAGTCATACTGTAGCTATATTATGGTTGTAGCACGAATGGGTTAGCTCGAGCGGGGAAGGACCACGTTCTCGCAGACTGCCAGCGTATAATAGCTGCTTAGTGCTGCTTTGTTTCGTATGATGAGTTTAAAGAACTGGAGACCCTTTTTACTGGAAACGAGGTACTCCATCTTAGTCCTGAGGGGTGGCAACGCACCTGCATTTTGATTCTTAATCGACGATAAATGTTGATGTCAATGGGTCACAGCATCCCCTTACTATAAGGTGGACTCTGTGCTCCTATTTCACCCTTATTCTAAAAAAGTTTTCTTCCGCGCACAACTTCCTGAAATCGACTACCACCAGATATTTTTCCAGACCGATAAGACATAGGGACCTTCAAGAAGAGAGCGTACTCCTTTTTAAATGCCGGCAACGCATCTGCGATTCCCTTGATATTGCAGTTGTTCATGGGCAGCGGTAATCACTTACCATCAGGTGAGTCGTAAGCTCTTTTGCCCCCTCTCCTATAAAAAGATCTACAGGGTTCTTCATTATCATCACTTATTTTTTTTAATCACATTTTTATTCTTTACCAAAATAATTTTCTATAATTTTAGTCCCTTAAGAATTGTGCCCACTTATTACGATAATTTCAAACATATTTTTGTTAAATGTGGTTATTGTTCACTTTTTATCAATAATTCTGTAATTTCAAGTTCATTGAACAAATTGTAAGATCTACAAAAGTAAGCCGCCCGAACAGGGACTTGAACCCTGGACCCTTGGATTAAAAGTCCAATGCTCTACCGACTGAGCTATCCGGGCTGTAAAATTGAATGTAAAAGTAATATTCTATTTAAACGTTTTACGAGTATTTATGTAAATTATTTATATAATATACATAAATACTCGTGTAGCCAGGATCAAATGGGTTAACTTATCGAACTACGTGCAATTGACTTGAGACCTGGCTCGAATGACGTCAGACAACATTTAGAGTCCTTATTGAGGCGATAAGGGCCTGAGGAGCAGGTAGCGCAGGGTGAACCGATTCGTGCCCTCGTATGTGCAGAAACACCATCGTAGCAGAAATTTGGTGTTCAGTCTAAAACTAAGTATCATCATTGTCATTATCAACTACCATTACTATAGAGAATGATTAAAACATCATCGAAAAACGACTATATTAAAATTTTTTAAAATCATTGGGTTTTTATACGTCATTTACACATCGATAAAATGTTACGAAGCTATAAAACACTTAAGTATTTTTTCTTATCTATGTATACTTGTTATTAAGATCCACTAACCTCTATTGACTTTCAATTTATTTGTTAGGGTAGAGATAATGTTATGCAACGGTTCACATAATGCTTTTTTTATGTTAACGCTAACTCCCAGTTAAATAAAGGACTAATTTGAAGAATTTCATATCGTCTTACTTACATTTATTTTTAACCGTATCGTTTCGTGTACTTAGGAAATTCATTTTCAAGTTATGCAATAGCTTATATAATATTTTTCTTTTTTTTATGTTAACGCGAAATCCCAATTAAAAAAAAAGTTATTCGCGACTGTGGCAGCTGTAATTTACTTTTGTTACGTGTATTTATGTTGCGTGTGTCTTTAATCTTTTTGAAAATATTAATATTTTTGTGAACAAACAGGCATAGATCATAAATGTACAGAGAGGGTAAGAATACTTAGTTTATTAAAATACGGTCTACAGCTAGTAGTGTTATCTATCTGGGCTAGTATTCTAACGCAGCTTAATTCTGCTGTGTTTCTTATGATGAATGTAGAGAACTGGCGACTCTTTTTACTTGAAACGAGACATTCCATCTTATTCCTCAGAGGTGACAACGTATTTTAATTGATAATCGAAAATAGATGTAAATTTCTATCAGCCAATGCATCCAATTACCATCAGGTGGACTGTGTGGTCGTTTGTGACCCATATACTAAAAAAAAATCTATTAAATAACGTCTGGCATAAACAAGTCGGTTATTCCGCCATTTTTAAAACTTTTTGTTTTTTCTCATAATTGTTTCTTATGACACAATGATCTAAGACGACGATGATAAATTCGTCCACGGCATCAACACGAAAAATTGGAACTTACTACAGAACTGAATGTTTAATTTAGTCCAATCCAAACACAGCCCGGATAGCTCAGTCGGTAGAGCATTGGACTTTTAATCCAAGGGTCCAGGGTTCAAGTCCCTGTTCGGGCGAGTATACTTTTTAAGTAAATAAAATTATAACATATTATGCAGAATATTAGCTGGTTAAACAACAACGCAGCACGATAAGTTTCGAATTTCTAATTCACGCCGACCTTAGTTATTGAATATTTTATTTACACTGTTATATGTATTGTTATAAATATGGAATCCGTATATATTCAAATATATATACAAAATAAAAACTATATTATAATATTGTAAATATTAAGAACAAATTTACAATATTATAATAATTTTTTTATTTTGTTGTTAGTCAAGTCGTTCAGAAGTACACGATCACTGAAAAACGCACCAAAACATTACATATAAAAAGATAATACCAGGTAGCCAGGCAGATGTTGTTCTAATTTTTCCGGTAGGCGGCGCGATGAGTTTTCTTAGTAATCGACTATTTATTATTTGTAATAACCGGCCAAATTTGCAGAGTAGGTTCAGAATAAGTAATATACGCAAATGATGAATAAAATTAATTAAAAACGATCTCTAAAATTCTGTCCTTTTTCTTTTAAATTCAATATTCGTGGTAATGCTTTATCTTAACTGATTTTACTGCGCACACACACATTCGTATAGGTCGATCGGAAGGCAAAAACGTTGATGCCGTAAATCACATTAAATTTGGGATAATTTCAAATAAATGTAGAAGCCTTGTTTTCTCGTATTTTGAAAAACTGCAATAACGGTATATCATTATTTATATATTTAAGCTTAGGTTAGGTACATACTCACAACTCACAACAAATACGTATTATCTTCCCATGACCACAGACTACTGAAAAATGGCAGGGTATACAAACTATCCACACAATCTGTCAATACTAAATTTGCGCAACGTTTTGGCTACATTATCAAAAGACAAATTTATAATAAGGTTGTAAACCATTGTACTATTAGAAATAAAAACTACATATCTGCGAAATTAATTATATTGAAATGGTTGGTCACTTTATCATATTATGATGAAACAGAAGAGTTGTTAAGAACTAGCTTTTGCTAATTGATGATATTTGTGAAATTTTTAAGTAAACTTTATTACTGTCTTAATTTTTATTTTCTTTTTTAAATGCATATATATAATTAAAATATTGCAGTTATATAAAACTTGGATTTATTGTTGTAGGATTCTTTTTTTATGTTCAACGATTTTAAACAATAAGGAGTTCTGTGGCTTGTGTATGTTAATTATTAATAAAATAAATAAAATTATAATAAATATAAAAATAACCCTTAATGAACTTTCATCTCAGGTTTCCTCGACACAGGCTTGCCTAGTGACAAAACCAACAGATTTTACCTACTGTATATTTTTTTCTGATATTAAAACAATTTTAATTTTATTTCATTATTATTTTTTGAACTCGATAAAAAAGTATAAAAGAAGAGCAAACTTATGGGTAAAAAAACAACATTTCAGTTGGTAATAAATATATTTATAAGTCCATAATAAAACGAAAAGTGCTAATAGTTGTAACCGTTCCTAGGCGTGAAGCTTGACTGGCGATTTCGGTTACCGAAACGGGCTCCTCCATTTTGGTTTCCTGAAGTCCTCTGTTCGGAGGTAGGTGGCAAATAGGCTTTAGTCACACCATTGTCGATTGGCTGAATTTGATTTCTTAGGTTATTTGCATTTCTTACTCTGGTTCCTTGCTGACGGAATACTTCAGAGTTAAAAGCAGTATTAATAACAACGGAGTCATCATCATTTATTTTGTTGACGTTCTTTCCATTTGCATTACTATCACCAAAAATCGAGGTCTCGTATCTGTTGTCTCCATTGTATTCATCGTAGGACCCTGAAAATTAATCACACGTGGTTTGTAAATATAAAGGAAAGTACATTAAAAAGTGAGAAATTGGGGTAGGATGTAGTTTTTGAAATGTCCTAAAGACAGAATATCGGTCGCGGTGGTCGGTCTCAACGGAGACTAGCCATCTGCGCAGGACAGGATTATAGCGCTCGAGTATATGCGCAAGCACAACTGCACTCTTTATTCCCTCACTCTCGTGGTCCGATGGGACGGCAAGCTGACAAGACCGAAGAGAGATTAAGCCCAAATCAACGGCTTTACGTGCTTCTCGGGGCACGGGGATGAAACACCGCCATTTTTCAGGCTCCGGGCAGCTACTGCGAATTTCTTGACAGAAACACCTAATAACTAATTTTGGTCCGACCCGGGATTCAAACCTTGTGATTAGTAACCACGTTTACGACTACTAAACCAACGAGGCAGACGATCGTGTATATTTTCATACAAGAGTACCTATAGATGATAAACTACTACGCAGTTCACTAGTGAGAAGAGAGTAGTATGAACAAATATATAATGAAAAAAACCTTTATCCATCATAGATTAAAAATCAATTTGTAGATGTGTTTTTGTCTGCAAATATTCTAATGGAATGCCTCGTTAATGCCTAAAGATCTCCGGATTTCTATTCTTTCTACATTCACCATTCAAACCACAGAAGCATTGTGACGGTATTTTATGTCGGTATATGTGAGATCGTTGCTTTTCCCTAATAGAGTCGATCAATAAGTACAGTCATATTAAGCTGAAGCTGAAGTGTGATAACTAGTAGCATTTCACTTTATATTCCCTGTTCTTCACGATGGACATGACTGTACCTGCAGGTAACTCTAAGCCACGTTAAGAAAATACGCTGAAGTAGAATTAAAAAGAAATGTGTATGAAAAAGTAGGTATTGTAATATTATGTACCATCATCGTAAATTCCTGCAGCTTCATCACGGGCGTTTTGTTCTAGAGCCAATAAAATCTCCTCTGGAATAGGGGGAGGCGTAGGTAGGTGGTCACCTTCCGGCACAAAACCGTTCTGACCAGCTGTATATCTGTGAAGAATATTGTTATGGATCATTTATTTTTAAATTTTCATCACCGTCTTCAATCAAAAGTCTATATCTATGTCATAACTCCACTACTGTACAAAGGCCTATTAAAGTTTGTTTCAATGGAATAAGTTATGAAAATAAAAGAAAAACGATTGTCTTCGAATTTAGTATTATGTTACACTGTACGTATACACTGATAAATTTCTTGTTAAAAAAGCCCAGAAAAATTTAAATAATTTAAATGTATAACGAATGAGTCCTAAATTTTGGTACTAGATATATTTTTAGGTTATATGTTTTATTTAATTGGAGATATTTATGAGAAAATTTATACTTAGCTAGTAGCAGATTTAGAGATCGGTAGAATTTTGGTAGTGATAAAATTCAACTACACTCTAAAATCGATTATGATTTGTGTCTAATTAGAACAAGTGTTCTGTGGTATTTATGGGGGAGGCCTAATGTTTAGCACTGCACTTTTGAAGGACAGTAAAGACGATGATGATGATAGGTCCAAATTTAAGATATTCGTTCTCTTTTTTATATTTCGAAGATATAGAAGATGAAGATATACCTATACTAAACAACATGAGGCTGTAGCAATATCGGCAGCCCTAACTCAGTGTGAATCGATGTTTTATCTCGATCTGATCGGTATTTTATAGACGGGGCGAAAGTCTAAAAGTTTCATATCAGATACTCACTTGACACTGTATACTTGTCCATCATCAGCAGTGTAGGAATAACCGCCTTGCGCTTCAACACCATTTGTAGCCACACCATTTTCTTCTGCGTGTATACCATTTTCAGTTTCAAAAGCATATGAGAAGGTTTCTCCGTTATTATTATTAAACTGTCGAAGAGTTGCCGCATTCCTTTCTAAAGCAGCACGGGGACGTTCAGGGCGAGTTCCATAATTCCCAAAGGCATTTATTTGACTTTGCAGTATGCCATTACTGTTTTCGATGAAATCGTTAGCGTCTTGGGCATACTTGTTATGAGCGAGAATATCTTTAGAAGGGAAACCATCATTTCTTTGCCCGGAGAATTCATTAAAATTAGACGTAGGACTTGAAAGAGGCGTTTGAAGAAAGTCGCTCGAACCCCCCGATGTCTGGGCATAGTTTGGTGGTAGATATGCCCCATTTAATTTCGCTGCGCTTGAGCAAGCGATGAAAAGTGTTAGAATGATCTGAAATTACGACATTATTTAACTAATGTACATAGTTACAAAGCAAACACGACACGTTATAAAAGCTTTAAAAATAATAAACTATGTGTAAGTGCTTTGTGGCATTCTTTGGGGGAGGCCTATATTCAGCAGTGGACTTGTGAAGGGCTGTAATGATGAATGATGAAGTACAATAATAAAAGTATAACAAAAACAAAAGAGAAATGTCAATATATTTATAGATTGGGATTAATTGTACCATTATCATTTTATCGATGAATGTATTCCTAAGGATGTTTTGGAAGAAGAGTCTGTTAAAAACAATAGTAGTGTGCATATAAGAAGAGTTATAATTATATATTTTAGTTTTAATACAATATTCAAATTATAAATGGCAAGGGATATGTTCTTCATGATCTCAAATTATTAAAAGATGTCACAAATAAAACAATCTGCTTAGATGTTTTACAGGAAAGGTAAACCTATTTAAAAATTCTGAGTTGATTTGATGTTTTGAGCAAATTGTTTCAATCGCTTTACTTATTTAGATAGTTTTATTTTCTGACAGATATTAAACAAAATTAATAAACGCGTTACCAATTTCATTGCAGATTTTTTCACACGATCTATCTCACGGATGCCAAGGATGTAACTGATGCGATTAAAGATCTCAGTAGAATATTTATAGTGACGCTTGCACTGATTATCGATGTACTTTAATATAGAAGATGATGGCTTGAACCAAAAGTCGTGGTCGTATGTTGCCTAATCAGTACATATTATAGTAGTACGTACGTCTAATTGTTGCGAACAGTCTCATGCAACAAATGGCAATTTCTTAACACGCCAGCGATCTTTTGACTAATTTCATTTGAAAGTCTATCATTAAAATATCATAGGTTTTATTACATGCACACGCTAAAGAGAATATCAGGAAACATTAAAACTGTTTCATTTGCCTGGATTACTTAACTTTTTCTCGACTCACTGCAAATTAAAAGGCACTGGCGCTTGCACCTTCGTTGACAGATGGGCTGCACCATCGACCTCTTGTGCAGGAGCATGGTGTGTCACGCTATCAAAGTTCTCAAGCACATAGCAACACATAGAGAGCGTAAGCTGCTCCTCGCTCTGAACACCTTGCCCTGTAGGAGATCTTCGAGAGAGAAGTCAAATTGGCTAAACCCACTGTTCTTTTTACCATATACACCGATACATAAGAATATCCACTACCCTATATCATCCCGTGGGTGTCGTGAGACAGCACAGAGGGAAACAAATCAAGAGATGAGCAGCATCGTCTTTCTAATAACGACTAAAATTAAAATAAAACTGCGGTTGCCAACCCACTTGCCAAGTGTGGCAACTACGCCCAAACAGCCCCTCTTTAATAGGCTTTGTGGACTTTAATAGGCTGTAACGGTAATTGTTCTTTTCGGCATTTTTTTCTTGCGGTATTCTCATCTGTCGCTTTTGCAACTTCCATAGTGAAGAGTGCATGATTTTGTGTTTTTTTCTTTCGAAACGCCTGTGATTCTCAGTCCATTTACCAAACATGGCGATGATGCCAAAATTTTACTATGTATGTGAGAGGCTTGAAGTAGAAGTATGTAGGTGTCTTAGGATCATTTTTTGTGGAAATGCTTGGAATTGTCTAGTGCCGTAATGATGATAATGATGATGATGAGATTCTTACGTAATATGTTTAATTGTGGTCTTGTTTAAAGGCTAAGAAAGTTTGATCTTTTTATTCAAAGCGGTGATTGTCAATATAATTTTATTTTGATCGAGTAATTTTTGCATAACGTAATAACGCGGTACAAAACCTATTTCAAAGAGCGTATTAAGCACGTGTGGGCAGTAGTTGGTCCACATCTCATCAAATTCCGACCTTGCAACTGATACATTCCAATCCTTAGCTAATGACTTAAAAAAGGTTAAGAATATGAAATATTTTTCTACTTTTTTTTTAAATAATATGACACTCATTTCTCCGCTCAGAATTTTGTCAAGGAAATGCAAGATATAGGAAGTATGCGGATAAAATATATCATTTTCATATAAACTACACACATAAAAACATTTTGTTTTAATATTTAAATAAATATTATTCATATTAGTGTAAGTATATTTTTTCTTACAGCATAAAAGAATATTTCAATTAAAGATAAATGTGATAACGAAGGGAATGACGAATGTTTCCTTGCTCTAAAACCCTCTCAGAAGTGGGAGGATGCATGTGCCCAGCTATATGTGTGTATAAAGTGGCGAAACAAAGAAATGACATGCAAACAATGATAGAGATATATTTAAGCTCGCCAAACAATGCCATGAAAACGGTCTGGATATTAAATTTGACAAATACATTAAAGACGAAAATGTCCATTTACTAACAGAAGATAACAAAATTAAAGAGCGATGGTGCCAATATTACCAAAAACTACTGAACGAAGAATTCCCGAGTCAACCATTGAATACAACCCCTAGCGTAGCTAGGTGATTGAACAAAATAGGTGAATAGGATGTCAAAAGAGCTCTTAAAAAGATAAAAAACCACAAAGCAGTTGGACCGGGTCGTATACCCGCTGATCTGTGGAAGCTGCTGGGGCCTATTGCTGTACAGTGGCTAACGAAGCTCTTTAATCAAATCTTAACCTCCATGAAGATCCGAAAGTCCTGGCGTCATAGTTATCTGGTACCTTTCTACAAGAACAAAGGAGATGTCAGTGACTGCGGCAATTGTAGGGGTATCAAACTTACTTTCCATACTTTGAAACTATGGGAGCGCATACTCAAAAATCGACTTTGTCAGTTGGTGTCCATATCTGATAATCAGTGTGGTTTCGCGCCAGGAAGATCAACGACTGATGCAATCCAAGCCATAAGGATTCTGATGGAAAAAGACCGAACCAACAGAGGATACCTCCACCTAGTGTTCATTGACCTGGAAAAGGCTTTCGACAGAATACCACGTAAATTAGTTTGGGAAGCTATGAGAACATAACAAATACCAGAACTCTATATTAACCTGGTGCATGATATGTATCAAAACATAAGCACACAGGTCGGAGTGCATCGGGGATCGTACTAAGCCCATTCCTATTCAATCTAACTCTGGATTATCTAACTAAGGACATCCAGTCCCCCTCCCGTGGTGCATGCTATATGCGGACGATATTGTGCTCATCGACAAATGTGCGATTCAACTGCAAGCGACACTCGAGCAATTGAGACAGGCTCTCGAGAACAATGGCCTCCATATCAGCAGGAGCACGACTGAGTTTCTGAGATGCAGTTTTAGTTAACAATATACGCCTAACATAAATATCTCCATCGACGGCCAGCCACTGCCCTGCATCAATAAATTTAAATACCTCGGCTCAGTGCTAACAGCGGATGTCAACATTGACGCATACATCACCCATGGCTAAGGTGAAGAACCCTATCAGGAATACTTTGCGATAGCAGGGTGCCAATACAACTGAAAGGTAAGATTTACAAAACTGCTGTAAGACCTGCCATGTTATATGGTGCCGAATGCTGGGCAGCCAAGAAGATCCACGAAAAAAAGTTGCACACGAATGAAATGAAAATGTTACAATGGTCAGCAGGCGTAACGAGACTTGATAAAGTGCGCAATGAGTACATCAGAGGTTCCTTTAAAGTTGCGCCCATTGTAAACAAGATGGTCGAGACTCGTTTGCATTGGTATGGGCATGTAATGAGGCGGGAAGAAGAACACCAAGTGAGGAAGGCCTTGGCAATTTTAGAGTAAAAGGAAGGCAGGGGACGCCCCTTAGCCACGTGATGGACAACCGTATCCAAGGATTTGGAACGAGCACAGCTTGAAAAACAGACAACCCAAGAAAGGAAATCTTGACGCATCGAGGAGAACCGACCCCAAAAAAAGGGACAAGGCAAGGAAGAAGAAGAAGAAGATTCTGTGAGAGCGTGATCCTTAGCTAGTCGAGAATGATCGAATAAAAAATAGACAGGACACTACGTACACGTTAGTTGCAAATTATACGCATCTTGTATATGAGTGCGTGCCTCTTTTGAAATAATTTGATCATGTTCTCGGTATCACGTAAAATGAGCGTATCACATTATTTTGGGACAGAAATATACGAAAATTACGATCTGTGTATGTGCGTATGTTTATATGTAGGTTCTGAACTGCCTCGTTTATCTAGTGGTCGTAAACGCGATTGCTGATCATGAGGTCCCGGGTTCGAATCCCGGGTTGTGCTTAAATCTGTTACTGGGTTTTTCAGTCAAGAAAATCGCAGTAGCAGCATGGAGTTAGGAAGTTGGTGGTCCTGCGCCTGATCTCTCTCCGTTCTTGTCGAACGACCATCCCATCGGACTATGAGAGTGAGGGAATACAGAGTACACCTGTGTTTTGCGCATATACTTGGGGACTATAATATTGCCCTACGGGGATGGCTAGTATCCGTTGCAACTGGCCGAAGTGACCGAAAATCAGTGTGGAGGACATTATTATGCAGAATCTGATTTCTTATGACCTAAATGACCTAATGAATTTTGTGCTTTTGTGCGTGTGCATGAAAAGGTTGAGCTCGTGACCCACCCGCACACAGTCCAGATCTTGTATCATGCGATTATTCAGAAATCAAAGATTTTATAAAAGGATTGGAAGTTTTGTTACAGCTTATGAAAAATAGAGTACATAAAAATCGATATTTTTTAAAAGCTTTTGTTGACTCGTATTACATCAATCTGCTTGTTGTTAATTGAAGTTTAATTGTTTTATAACTCTAAACAGCAGTGTAATTAGTGAGACAGTACAGATTACGACAGCTTTTATTAGTTTAAGGTCAAAAGAGATCGATCTTGGTAATTATAATCAACGCTAATATACTAAAATCGCATACAGGATTTCAATTAATCGGGTAATGACTTCGGAAATGTTGAGTGATACCTCTACGTTAATAATTATTATCTTCGGGACATTATACTTACGTTTTCCAGAGCAAACGATTCTCCGGAATAATCGATTTTCCAGGATAGAGCCCAGTAAACAAATGTTGAAACGCTTGACACGTACGTTTTTTTAAAATTATTATTAGGAAGACGCTGACCTCTCCTTGTTTGTTTCCCTGTGTTGCCTCTTACAACCCCAGAGGAATGATATGGGGTAGTGGATATTCTTACACCGCCACTACACGGTCAAATAAATGGATATTTATGTCTTAATAGTAAACAACACTGAACTGAATATAGGATAGTTATTTCGATATTACAGACAGATACTTGCATTTTATTTATATGTATAGGTTATCTCTCATCTTATTCGACAATCAACTTCATTGTGTTACCTATACAACAATAACCATCTCGTTATTACTAGAAAAGCTCAAGGTCGAGCTTTTAATTGACATATCAAAATAAATGAGTCACAAAATGATATCTATTATTCAAATAAAGCCTCCATTGTGGGCGAGGAATTCGCGTGTTGTAATTTTCATTTAGCGTAATAAATCGTAATTAGTATTTACAACTCCTTATGTATCTCCCTATGACAATTTCTTTGTTAGAAATGCGTCGGTGTTATCTAAAGACGTATTGTTAAAAAGTGTCGCCTTGAAACGGACGCGTCGTCGTTCTCATAATAGAGTAATGGAATCGGTTAGTCTAACCGGCTGTTTAGTGATGGTTAGTAGACTTTCATGTCTTTCAAATAAATTTATTTCATAGATGTGTCGGTTAAAACCCCCTAAACCATTATTTTAAAAGAATATCTCTGACAATTGGATAGCGCAGTGGTTGAGGGTTTGGCTAAGGCGTTCAGGGATGTGGGTTCGATTCTTGCACGAAATTAGTGTTTATATTTTCTAGAAATAATTGTTTTGGGTCTGGGTGTTCGTTCATATCTAATTTATGTAGTAAAACACACACATTAGGAAAACTTCTAGAGATTTTCGTTTGTTGTTTTTTTTATTATATTTTGGTTTATATGTTGAAATCTGAGCTACTATGACACTACTAGTACATTGTGGAATTTATGATAATCCCGGGCCTTGATAAAATTGTTCACAAAGATTTTTAAAAAACTGCATATATGTATTTTGATATATTAAGTTTTCATCTTTTTATTTTTCATCATAAGCCCGTAAAACTGCACTACTGGACATGGACCTCTCCCGTTATAGGTAGGGTTTGCTTTAATTGGCATCCTTGGTAGCCAGATTGGCTTAGCGATCGCAGAACCTGATGCTTCGCGCTTTTGACACTGCTAACCGCCGCCACTGTGGGTATTTACCTTTTATTTAACGAGATGGTTATACTGCCATCAAGTTAAGCTAAGTTAAGTAAAGTTAAGTTAGTTACCTATCTAGTTAAGCTCATGGGGTTATTTGCATGCTATTATGATATGAATGTTTGTTTTAAAAATTTTATGTCTTTCCGAATTAATCTTCGGAGTTACGCACGGAGCAATGCTAGGTGCTAGTGATCTAGGCTAATCTTTATACAAGAAATTGCCAATTTTTATGCGAATACGAAAAAGTGATAATTTTTTTTTATTGATGATTATCACGTAAACTAGGTATAGAAATATTATTAGTTTTATTATTTTCTCGTAAGCTGAGTAATTATTTTCTCGTAAGTGCCTAGAAGATTGCAATGCGGTGGACGATATAAATGACAAGCTCGTGGAAACTGTCCATGCGGTCGGAGTTAAGTTTTGCAAGACCCGCCGCAGAAGAACACAAAAACTTTCCGATCACACTCTTAATCTCATGGCTGTTGGACGGGATATGAAGCTGCAGTCTTCAGTAGATTTGACAACATACAGGCAACTGAACAGACAGATCTCCAAATGCATGCGGCGAGACTTACGACACTTTAATACTGCTCGTATTGAAGAAGCGATCGAGCGGAACCAGGGCTTCAAAGTATTTTCTAGAGATATATCTGCCATAAAGAGCCAACTGTCGAAGCTGAAGACCGAGTGTGGCAGTATCGTTTCCGGGGCACCTGAGATTTTGAGTGAGATTGAGAGGTTGTATGGGCAGCTGTACACATCATCGTTGGAGCCACACGTAAGTGTGAGTAACGATCCAAGAGCGGCCACTACTCCGACACTATTCCGATGATATCCCGGACGCCAGTCTGAGCGAGAGTAGAATGGCTCTCCAGCACCTTAAAAACGGCAAGGCCCCAGGCGAGGATGCAATTACAATGGAGCTTCTGAAAGCGGGTGGAAAACCGGTTCTTGAAGTCCTTCAGAATATATATTTGTTATACTTCGTTGGAGTTGATTGTTATTTATATTAAATTATATATGAAACTATGTACTTTAGCTTACATTTACTCTGGTATTCTGCACTAACATATTACATTTTACATAAAATTTTAATATATAATAAAATTTATTTTTAACAATAAACGTCGAATTTATCTTGACAGTAGAGGAGCCCATAATATCCGTTTGTTATACCTCAGAACGGTTACATATTATTGGATATTCTTCTTGAAAATATTAATATTTTTGTGGACAAAACGGCATAGATCATAAATGTACTTAAAGGCCAGTAGTGTTATCTATCTGGGCTAGTATTCTAACGCAGATTAATGCTGCTGTGTTTTTTATGATGAGTGTAGAGAACTGGCGACTCTTTTTAATTGAAGCGAGGCATTCCGTCTTAGTTCTCAGAGATAAAAACGCATTTTAATTGTTAATCAAAAATAGATGTAAATGTCTTTCGGCCACGTCATCCACTTGCCATCAGGTGGACTGTATGCTCGTTTGTCAGCTAATTCTAAAAAACAAACGTCTGGCATAAACAAGTCGGTTATTCCGCCATCTTTAAAACTTTGGTATTTCTCATAATCTTTTCTTATGACACTGATGATCTAAGACGACGATGATAAATTCGCCTACGGTATCAACACGAAAAATTGGAACTTACTACAGAACTGAATGTTAAATTTAGACCAATCCAAACACAGCCCGGATAGCTCAGTCGGTAGAGCATTGGACTTTTAATCCAAGGGTCCAGGGTTCAAGTCCCTGTTCGGGCGAGTATACTTTTTAAGTAAATAAAATTATAACATATTATGCAGAATATTAGC